TCCATCGCACCCCCCACCGCCGCACACCTCGTCTTCTCTATCGCAACTGTATTTGGAATTTGTTTGTTGTTCCATCTAAAGAAAAGCGGTGAAAAAAAGAGTGCAGCTGTTTTAAGTAGGCACTGGATTAGATAAATGGAAAGTGACAGGTGTGACCGCTGCCTTCAAGATGTCTGCTATCCTCCCCAGTCTCTCTCTTTCTCTATCGTTCTGTCAAGTCGTTCGCTCATTCATTCTAATAACATCGACGCTATGCCGACGGTTCCTCGACTCCTTTGCATTTTCATGTCGCGCTGATGCAACCTCGTAATCACAAAGCGGCTCATTTCAAGTGCGAAATTTGCCTAATCTGAAGAAGAGACAGGGTGAGAGAAATTAGACAAGAGGTACAGCGTTGGTAGTAAGTAAGTAAGTAAGTAATCTTTATTTATATACCGCCTTTTCACTGCAGATCTGAGTCTCAAAGCGGTTTACAATTGTTAATTTTTTTGGGCATTTGTCTCTCACTCAACACAGAGATGGGAGCGGGGCCAGTACAGGAGGCGCCTGTACTAATGCCAGAACTATTGGACATATTTTTAGTGGTAGGGGAAACCGGAGTACCCGGAGGAAACCTACGCAGACAGGGGGAGAACATGCAAACTCCACTCAGAAAGACCCTGGTCCGACCGGGATTCGAACCCAGGACCTTCTTGCTGAGAGGCGAGAGTGCTATCCACTCAGCCACCGTGCCGCCCACACGTGGTGGTCTACACTTGATCAGGTGCTTGAACATGAGGAAAAGGTTAATTCGTGTTGAGTTTAATATATACAGTATCAATGCATGGAGGTTTACTGTACTGCTGTGTCTCTGTTACAAGTAAGAGAACTCTGGGGGAATTAGTCAATTATTGATTGTACTGACTTATTCAGAGTGTGCAAACAGACACAGCCCCGCAGACAGCGTTAGTAGAGGGGAAAAATGACAAGTGATAATGGTTGTCTGGCTCTTGCTCCTAAAGATACCTGGGTAACTTTTTGGGCGTTGTGTTTAGTGTTTCCATGGTGCCACCCAACTTATAACAGATATGCGAGTGGATTAAATGGATTTAAAATCAGCTGTAAAAGCTTGGTGGTGCTTGATTCAATGAGCCATAAAAGTTTATGGAGCTGGAAGTGATGACCATAATTAAAAAGCAAAACAAGTAAAAACAAAAAGGTTTCTTAAAGCAGGGGTACCCAACTTTCAGAATGCAAAAACTTGAAGAACAATAAAATCTATGTCAGTAGTTACTCGTTCTTAGCCACATCTTTAGATTCACTTTTTAAATACAGTAAAGTGAAAAAAGAGGTCCTCAATCACTAAGCCAATCACAAGGAACATTCTTTCGAGTATGCAAAAGAAAAATTAGTTTTCTGTTAAGATGGTTTGATTTTGCAACATTTTACTTTTACAACCACTGTTTATGTTATTGTAAAAGTCAAATAAAATGTATTAATTGAAACAAAAAACAAAAAAATAGGTATCCCAGCTTTAAGGACATTACTTTTAACCAACCCAATACATATTTTGTTGCCGTTAAAGATTTAGGTAAAAAACATGTTTTCTCTCTGAGGTTGAATACAGCACTCTTAATTTGTGATCGCTCAGGGCTTTCAATAAAAAGTAACTGCTTCAGTGGTTAAAATATCATAAACTGAGGTGGGAATGGTATGAAAATAGTCAGGGGCATTTTGGGTAAATGCTTCAGGTATGAAAACTATGTGTGAAAGTCAAATTGTGGGTAGCGTGATGTGCTGTTATTATATTTGTGTTGAGAGAATAAACGACAGACAACATTAGAAGTCGTGCAGGTTCACATGACGTTTCTGTGGACTGTGATCTCTGTATTAACTTACACCATCAACGTCCAAGTTAATGATTGGATGATCTGTCTAAATAAGCAACTGCGTAAAAGCCGGGGTACCTAACTATAAAACCACAAACGAAGGAAGATGCAGTGAAATCTGTCACTTCTTTTGATCAGCTGTGAGGAAAACCCGCAAAAGGCCCACAAGCAAGCAAAAGATACCATTTTCTTTCATTGCTTTTACAGTATAAGACACATTTCGTTGGGACAAACAAAATGTATTGTGTACTTAATGTGTAAAATGTGTTACACTGCTGCTTTCACTTCAATAATATCAACCACATCCAATCCAAAGTCTTTCTGTAGAGCGACATTTCCAGGTCTTCTCTTCTCTGCGCTCTCTCCCAACAGTGGTAATCTCTGAAAGACAAAGGTAGAGTGGGAGCCGAATGTGTCTTGTCCCAGGTGGTGCGCTCCTTACTGTCGGTGAGATTAGCCAAAGATTAACCTCGTGGACCATTGACCTCCTGTCAACAAACAGCTGAGCTCACACACTGACGGCTGTAGCTGATCGTCTCAATAACTCGCACCAGTAATTAATCTGGCACCCGAATGCACCTCAATACCACAGACACTCTTTAATGGATTACCAGCCTCATTGAAGCTGCAGTTTTTACGTAACGGAAGAGGTTTTCAAGTCCTCCTACCTCTCGCTGTCATTGTTAATTGGGCTGAGCGGGAATTAAGTTTATCAAAGGCATGTCCAAACAAACACGGGTTTTACTGGGTCAAAGATTAAGGAACTAGACTTTACTTACCACGATCACCTGCTACTGACAGCTTTGTCACATAATCCTGTTATACATCTTGTTTCATGCTATTGTGTCAAAGCGCTCTACCGTGTTGTGGCTGTAAGATAATACAATAACTATCCTACTGTACCAATCTCTGATGCCATACCTCCTTGTGCATCAAAGGTTTCGACCCAAACAAACAGGAAACTTTCGATAAAACAACCTGGCTTCCAACTACATTTTTCTTTTTTTAAATTTCTGTTATCAATGTTAGTAGTCCTCAAGCTCTTCAAAAACTCAGTCACCAAACAGGATAATTGTAGTTTTACATGTGCTCTTAATGATAAAAAGAACACCTTATTGTTTGCAAATGTTATAAAACTAATATTTGATACATATCTTTCCATTCATGCAAGAATTAAGATTAAGATGAAGATATCTTTTATTAGTCCCAGAGCGGGGAAATTTCAGTGTTGCATCACAAGTTACAGAACAGTAGGAATGAGGAGCACACAGCACAAGATAAGTGAACAACAGCTATAATAAATAAAATAAAACAAAATCAAAATCTCTAACTAGCAATAAAAAGAACAAGTATAAAATAGTTCTTGGTCCTCTAACACAACTGCTGGACAGCTCTCAGCTCAAAATATTGTTTGGTGACTCACTGGGCTTTCTCTGTGTTGCTATGAAAATATAATTACATTTTAGACAGTGTATAAGAATTTAATTTTATCACAAAGTTTTGCCTATACAAAACTATGTCTTTAATAGGAAAGGATAATTTATCAATGACATCGGTTGCCAAATAACTGCACACAGGTATTCTTCCATGTGTGCTGCTTATGCAAATCAGTTTTCACTCTTTCATTTTCTTGTGCACTTGAGTCTTTACTAAACTTGCCAAAAATGGAAATACTGTTAAAGTTGTTTACAAACAGAAAAAAAGGGTCCCTATAGTTCTGCAAATATTAATTTCAATGTACAATAGATGCATTTGAAAGTTAATGTATTCCTTTACTTTGAAAAGGGTCATTTCACCATGGTGCGATCCAACTTTCGCCAGACGGATAATTATTTGTGTCGACAGCTTGGCACTAGCCACAGAGCTTCACTTTGAGCTGTATACATTATATTTTGTAGCTGTCAGGCTAATTCTTGTTGTATTTGTAGTGATTTTGTACCCACATGCAATCTTTTTATAACGCTATGGAAATGACTTGACGCCGCTCCAACACTTGTTATTTGAAAGAGATCTACACTTCTTTTTTTGTCATTTTGTTTTTGATGTCAGTTACATTCTCAGCATTAATTGTCATGGAGTCTTCGGACAAAACACAAAGCGCCGCTCGGAAACTTGGGATGGAGTACAGTAGCCTTGGCCGTGCCTCAAAAATGACAGCTTTGTAATGAAGAGTAAGCCTGACTCCAAGTGTGTGCGAGTCTTTAACTACTGTCCTTTCAAGTACGCACTCTGTCAAGTACCTCCAAGTCACTCAAATGCAGATTCCAGAGGATGTAAGGCGCACGCAGCAAAGGGAAGGCGAAGTGTGCCCTAACTTGAGATAACTGGCACGGGATGAAAGGTGCGAGCAATCGTCTGTACGGAAAAGGTTTACAAGAAATAAAGGAGGAGAGAAGAGTGGAGAAGGATGGGGGATAATGAGGGGGATAGTGCCAGCGCCACCCTCCTCACTACAATTTCTGAAACTAACAGTTGGTATGATAGAGAAAATAAATTATGAGCAACTTCAACTTCTCTACAAGACAAATTGAAGGTCAACGAAATGGCATATTTGATTACTTGTAGTGAACGGTTCCTTGACGTCGGTGATTGTGATGATTTTGTTAGCGCAAACTCAAAGGCCTGGGTAAACCATGTCAATGCCTTTGGGATCATGTTGTGATGGTAAGTGTGGACCGAAGAGGAAGCAGATTTTAATGTTTCTAAATTGGAAAGTGATTCAGTTCATATGTAACAGCTTGGCAGTTCATAACAATCTGTTCAGTTGCTTAGTGACAAGAAAATCGAAAGTTCTTTTGAAGAACAAAATAGCAGGGGTCAGGAACACTGGGCTGTTCTTTGGAAAATGAGTAAAAGACCTTCGTTCTATTGAACAATGGGAATTATACCAGTTGAATGCACGGGTGAAAAAAAGTAAACTAATAATCTGATATCTTTTTTTTTATTCAAAGCTTGTGCAGTGGAAGAGAAGGACACGTCATTGTCTGAAGATTAATTCTCTTGTTTCTAATAATCTATGTACAACTCATATTCATTGGCATTGAAACAGAGGACTCTTAATAAGTTTAATTTGAAGTTTGAGTGCTTGTTGTTTGAAAACTTCCTAACATTGTTGATTATCTCTGTCTGTAGGAGCACGAAAGCTTTAAGGGGCGCTCCCTGAGTCCTTACACCCAGCACAATGCTACCTCACCAGGCAAAGAGGAAGCTGGTGGCGGCAGCCGACCCTGCAGCGATGGGGGCTTGACCACAGGAGCCCTGGGGACCCCTGAGAGGCGTAAGGGCAGCCTGGCAGACGTGGTGGACACACTGAAGCAGCGCAAGATGGAGGAGCTGATCAAGAACGAGCCAGAAGGTCAGTGATGACAGGAGGCGTACGTCCAGATGTGTGCTGCGTCTGGACTCAGATCTGCTATCACACGCTACTGTCTTGTCTGCTGTCTCTATCACCCCCTCTGTTATGAGCCTACACACTCGATAAGAGGCGAGCCTTTGTTTCTCTGCACACAGACAGACAGCATCAGCTGTTCAGGCCCATTGTCCACCATGTTTTGCATATTTATCACAACCTGACAAATACGACGTGTGTGCGCTCAGCGGCAACTGTGAATGCACTTGGATATCTTAACAGCCAGGCGATTGTGCCCCGGATCATATTCAAGACAAGGAAATGTATAGCTCTGTTCTCAGGGACATACTGGTACTCTTGCAACCTAAAGGTTAATAGGCCCTCAGAGTCCAAGTACAATTCCTTAGACAATTAAATAGTCCAGGGGAGATTTGAGCCTAGAGCGACATAGCTTAGCATGATTAGAATTCATTCTCCAATGCAGCCCTGGGCTACAGTGAGCCTCGTCAAAGAGATAAAATTAGCCTGTGACCAACTGCGACTCCATTAGGGCCAGTAATGGTGGCTTAAGTCACTATGTAACACATGTGAAGGTGATAAGGTGACAAAAACATTATCAACAGGTGTCCCTCCTTTCTTTAGAATGATAACATAGCAGTTTCTTTTTATTGCTTGAGAAATCATTTACGTCTGTGTTAGTGGCCTTAAATGTCATGTGTACTTAAAAGGAAGGTAAACCATCATTACATTAGAAGTATAGTATGGTTTTTATGTCGAATGATATAAAGTTTTACAAATTGTGCTGTGCTTTTAAATCACGGACACCTTTATTACCACAACCTAGATAAATGGAGTTTTCTTATATTGAAAAAAAGTGCTCCGGTGTACAGTGATGTGTTTGTGTTCCCTACCGCCCATCAACAGTCTTTCAATTGAAGCTGTGATGGCCTGACCTCATTTCTACTCTTTTCAGTGAGCCTTTCAAAGATTGCTGGTCAGATTTGTCCGAGCATACTTGTTTTTTGTTGTTGTATTTCAGTCAATAAAGAGCAGTGTGTTGCAGCACATTTTATAATCTAAAAAAAAAAACACCCTGTGATACTGTGTAACTGTAAGTGTGTTTTGGGTTGTTCGCTTGCTTCGCTGGACCTTGTGAACTGACCGCAGCGGGAAAAGAAAACAACAATAATGGATCTTTAGTATGAATCATATGTAGCAGGGTAGGTGGCGGTACACAGATAAATAGTGAGTAGGAAAAGAGACGAAAGGAGCGAGCGAAGGATGCGAGTGGTGTCTTCTTTACAGACCCCATTAGCCGACAGCCACAGTGGTGTAGCGTCCAAACCAACCTCAGAGCATTATCTGGTCTACGTTCAAATGAAACCTGCTAACAAAAGACCCCAGCGCCTCCAGACTCTAGGCCAAGTAAGAGCAAAAGAAAGAAAGAATAGATGAAAAAAGCAAAGGAAAGTGGAGAGAGGGAGGATTGGGGAGGGGGCTTTGGTATTGAACCGCGTGATAGAAATCCATTTTCGGTGCCCGGCTAGGCTATTGTTTGGCTGTGTGGCTCACAAAGGCCATTAGCAGCAAACAGCAGGTTGGGATGAAAATTTAATGAATGCTTTAATCATTATGAAAGGCCGGGAATATTACTGCTCTCAGTCTGTCTCTTTCATACACACACACACACACACACTGATACGCAAATCGCTTCTTCTACTGGATCAATGTCCGACGTTCGCATTGGTCACATCAGGGTATTCACACCAGGAGGGGAGTTAGGAAGAGGCCAAAGACACAAAATGGGTCAGAAAGCGATAAACATCTCAAAAAGAGAAGACGTGGCTTAGCGAAGGCAGGCCCAGAGCAAGACAACACACACATACAGTAGGTTTTTTGAAGATATAGTTGGTGTCTGCGGCTAGTGTTGTTCTACTTAGGCGAGATGAATGGATAGTGGTCCTTACTAGGTCAGTGCGACAGTGCTGTTCAAGCCTTTGGGAGAGAGTCCACGTATTTGCATATGTATCCGTTCATTTTCGGAGCATTCGGACGGCTGTATCGGAAGCTTGGGTGTAAGATGGTGTTTGTGTGTTTGCTGTAATAAATGATAAGCCACGTTGTCCCCCATGGCCTGGCCCAACCATGCTCCAGCGCTCTCCTGCTCTCCCCCATTCATCTCCTGTCTCAGCCCACCGGCCACCTGCTACCCCAGAGATACACACTCACCACTCCACTACTACGGCCCCAGTATGGTTTACTAGAAAAACTTTTGCCACGGTTTGGACACTCACAACAATGGATTCAACAACATAGAATACGCAGATGCGCGATTGTCTCCTTGAAATGAAGCACACGTATTTCTTATTTTGTCATATTCTGATACAATCTTCGCCATGTCAGTATGCAAAGTACGGCAAAATATACATGGACGACTATTTCAATTATTAGTATATCAATCAGCTGTATTCTTGTATGCGTTTACCAGCATCTTTCTAGTGGGCTCTCGACTGGCAGCCTGTGCTTGAGTGGCTGTGTTAGTAATTACCTGAAGTAATGAGAGTGGAGCATGGCGGGAGGCCTAGGGTCAAGAGGAGAGCCAGGCTAGCCCCCAAGAAAACTGTTTCAATGTAACAACACACACATACATAGAGACACACCTGGCCAGCTTTGACTTACCTTTTAACCCCAAGTGACCAAAAAAGCCTATATTCAGATGATCTGATGCCTTGCCTGAGGAGGAAGGTAGAACATAATACACAGACACAAGTACAATATAGATAATTATAAGCCCAACATGAAGGATAGAAGAATTAAAAGGGGCCAGAGTCACAGTGCTAAATGGGGCACAGATGTTTGGGCTAGCCCCCAGAGTAGTGGCACTTCTGCCCTGGACACTCACAGCCTAATTCATCCTCTCTCTGTTTATATCTTCTGACCCATGAAAACAACTGAGTTCCCGATCTTTTTTTCTCTCGTATCTCATCGTGGGCAGTGATGGGCTTGAGGCTTAATTGACATTTAACATGTTATCTAAGTGTTGGAAGGTTAGCAAATCAGTAAGTCTAGTTGCAATGCTTTTTGGTCAAGTTGGAGTTGTAAAACAAAAATGCTGCAGCAGTCATTTAGGAGACTTTCAAAGGGCGGGAGATGGGGTTTGCTTTAGTGATATTCTTATTGTTGTTAGCCATTACAATTATATAATCTTATTCAGTGTATAGCTCGATAGGTATGGTTATCAAGAAAGACCCAATACTTCAAACAGATCTACGTTCCGTGACTGGAATTGTTAATGGTAGAGTTAGATCCTTTTCTGCATTTGATTTATAAGGTAAGATAAGATAGACTTTATTAATCTTACATAGGAGACAAATACAATGCAATGAAATTTTAGAAAAACCTTCATTCCGATTGGGATAGAGTATGCCTAGTTCTCTAGGGACATGATGAATCTGTTTAACCTTTAGCATCAAGACACTAAATGTAAGTGTCGTCAAATTGACTACATTTAGATAAACTCATGATGTTTATAAGTCGCTGACTTTGAAATACATCCGGCAACAATGAAACAATGATATATTGTACATCTATTGTCACTTTGATATCCTTTCCACAGAGCGTTGTGTTGTTTTATTGGGGCAGGGTCCATTTCAGAGGTACGCCCCTGACCCCTGCACTCGGTTGATTTGGATACATGAAGAAACGACCGGTCTTCAGCTGGACCTGCAAACCTCAAGGTCAAATACGATAGCTTTTTTTTATTGCCAAGTGTAATCGCTGTTTTGGGTCGCTTCGAGGCACTGGTTTCCATACTGAAAATGCCAACTCAATGACAGATGTCACATAGCACACATACACACACTCTCTCTCTCTCTCACACACACACACACACACACACACACACAGACACATACACACACTACACACTTCACTTCATCTATTTTCTTGGCAGGGACGGAAACCCGGAGCCTGCTTTTAGAGAGCACTGAGGCATTTTATAGGACAGCACTTAGGCAGGCCTATTGTGCCACATAAGCACACACTGGCCAGGGCTCGCTCACGCCTCCATACACTCCAATGGGTGACAATGGGAAGGGCGGATACAGGCTGCCAACAAGAAGGAGAGCGGAGAGGAGTTGGTAGAGGAGCGGTGTTGGAGAGGTGCAAGGGTTCGAGGCGGTCTCCTGTTCAAACGCCAATCAGTCCAACCCCCAGCCTTCACCCTGGTTAATCCTCACTGCTCCTCTATCTGGGGGGTTATGTCAAGCATGTGTCAACAATGGTGTTTACCGGTATGGGAAAAGAAAAATCAAGAGAGTGCTGGACAATCTCAAAGGTTTTAATGAAGCCCAATATTTTAACTGGCTCCTATAGCTCTCGAAAAAGTTTTGTTCTTTCTCTAGTTTTAAGATGTATTTTTGGCCTGACAGAAAATAAACCCTCACTATCCAGCTCCTAGTCCAAAGCATTAAATAGTGACTCAAAGGGACTCAATAGCTCTGCTCTCCCTTACAAGGTAAAACATAACATTCTTTCAAATAAGATGATATAACAAGATGAAAACAAAAAAGTAGTATATATGAAAAGAAAGTTGGCTTTAAAAACTGATAAAAAATATTTATCATAATAACCCACAGATTTGATGCCAATAACATAAGCCGTATTATCAAATATTATATTAATAATGACATTATTCAAACAATATTATAACATAAAGTTTCACGATTTCTCAAGTTAGAGCGTGGGAGCATGGAAAACGCAATCCTAGCCCTTTTGTCTAAGAATAAGACCTGGTTTTCACACAGGGATTCCGATAGATTAACTGCAATGTAAGCGGCAACTGTCCCTGCTTAGTTTGACAGTGTCCCAATTACAAAGAATTGAGAACGGTGATCCAATTGACTGTTTTGGGCTTTTAAAAGGGGTCTGTAACAAGTTGAAAATAGAATAGCTCTGACACAAAACCCGTTTTTGTTTGTGTCTTTGAAGAACTTTGATGTTATCGT